AGAAAGAGCTACGATAGATAGATAGATAGAATGATAGAGAGGGGTTGGGAATGGAGAGAGCAAAAGAGTGTGATAGAGATGGAAAAAGAAAACTTACATCCCGTTTACACATCGTCACGTCAAGCAAAGTACGTGGGCCGTGATGCCATCCATCAGAAAAGGAAACCTTATTTTAATCCCAAACACCAACTGAGTGTGAAAATTGTCAAAAACACACAAGGACAAATTCCCGAAGATGAAAAGAAATCACAAGCAAAAAATAAGAATTATTTTCCCCCGAAAAAGCAGCGTTCACAAAACAAAATAAATAAGGTAACGACCAGAAAAGGGGAGACACAGTTAATCCTAAAGTGCAATCTGAAAGGGAAACATTGTTCTAACAAAGGAAGTTTTTGATTATATATTCGTTTAAATGTCCTTTGCCTAAACGGATCCATGGATCAACGCTTTCCTATCACTTTGGCCCTGTAGGGGTCGTGAGTCAGGGCAGACGAGTACAAGAGAAGAAATAAAAAAAATACACTGATCAACCAGTCGGGAAACAACTTTATTTGTCTGTGAAATATCTTAATGAGCACCATTGTTTATTTAGACAGCTCTTTTTCAGACCTGGTACGGTGACTCTTGTAATATTCAACTCACCGTTTTTCCAGGTGAGCGACATTTGGAAGGTTCAACCGACTTCATTCCGACTTACAGCCCGTGTTTAGGGCCCCCTTCTTTCGTGAGTCACCCCTCCTCACCCTTGTTTCCGATCTCTTTTCTTCATAACTTTCCTATCAAACAAAATGGCTCCTAATTTAAAATGTCTTTTTTCATTTTTTTTTTTTTTTTTTTTTTTAACGTTTTATGCAGTTTTTCTGGGTGGATGAATCTCTGGAGATCTGTCAGCCAAAAGTTTAGGCCCCGCCGAGTTTTGAAGAGTTAAGGATCTCACTTTAAGCTTGTGTTCATTGACACGCAAAAATAGATAAATAAATAAATAAAATCTATTTAATGTAACGTCAGTGTATAGAAATTCATCCGCTTGGTTGGCAGTCAAGTTAAAACCTTCCGCCGAACAAAATAATTCCTAAAACGTAAACAATTGTTTCTTGGCGCAATAAAAATATAAAAATGAAACCTTTCTTCATGATTTGTTATAGCTGAAGCAATCGTTATTTTATTTTTTTTTTAACAAAGACAAACAAATTTACTTTTATAATATATATATATATATATATATATATATATATATATATATATATATATATATATATATATATATATATATATATATTACTTAAAGGTTATTCTTAGTGGATACACGTATTTAAGTAGGCGCTCCGTTTATTTTATTAAACGGTATATTTATTTTTTTTCGTTTACCGCCTTGCTAATCTTATTAAAAAAAAAATATACGCTCTCAATAAAAATAACGTTTAAAAAAAAAAAAAATCTGCCGGATTAATAAATAAAAAGAATACCCTTTTTTATATGTCTATGTATCTCTATTTATATATATATATATATATATATATATATATATATATATATATATATATATATATATATATATATATATATATATATATATATATATGATAATCCTAAAGAGCCAGGAACTACCTAGCTAGGTTTCACCTAAATGGATCTTCAGGGTAAGATGGCTTATTTTATTCCTATGCTCTAATAGCGTATTGAGTACTCTACGTTTTATCTTAGTTACTCGCTTGGGGGTTTTTTTTTCTTTGTATTGGAAATTCAAGGCAATGGACGATTTTTTTCGCCCTGTTCGGATATTTTTAGTTTTTTCCTCGGATACCAATTTGTTTTGATAGATTTTCAAATTGTGCCATACGGTTTTTTTTACCAACCGAATATAATTATTAGTATAATATATATATATATATATATATATATATATATATATATATATGGTTAGCATGTTACTCTGCGGTGTTGTCTGAACGTGAGAATGGCAAGAAGTGAAGTTCATGAGGTTATGCAGGAAAGATAATGGCTAACCAAAAACATTGCCTTTAGGAGATTGTATCTTTGAAAAAACGTAAAATACATCTGTTGGTTTGATATGCTAAGAGAACCGCCCCCCTAGGGTGACACAGGGCGACACAGTAAGAATTAAATTGTATCGAATCTCGACACTCAGAATTTTGACATTTAAGAAAAACCTGAATACCTGAATATAAGGATGAACAACTTTAGGTTATTATGCTTTGGGAACTTTTGCAATAAACAAAATTTTGGTTGTAAATATATGAGAATAAAATACGGATATCTTTCCTGAAACGTTTATAAATTGTACACTATATATATATATATATATATATATATGTATATGTGTGTGTGTGTGTGAAAAGTGTATATAAATATAAATAAATATATATATATGTATAATTATTTATATATTATATTCGGTGGTACTTACTAAGCGCTCAATATCAGAAATAGAGCTAACATATTTGGTTGGATAGATGTGAGATTGTTATATATATATATATATATATATATATATATATATATATATATATATTTAATTTAAAACCGGTATGTAGCCATTTAGAGAAATTACAAACAAACGGTAAGTTATCTCTTTAGAGATAATAGAAATAAAAAGGACATTTATACCCAAACCCAGGAAGAGACAATTGAAATTTCTCGGACACATAATGAGGAAAGATGACTTGGAAAACTTAATACCCAAGTGGGACAGACGAAATAAACGGATAAACTGCCTAGCGAGTTTGACTACATAGAAGGCGGAGCAAGGTTTAGGCGAGATAACAAAAAGTCAAAATTTATTAAGAGCTACAAAAGGCGGGAGGAAGAGGAGGAAGAGAAGAAGAAGAAGAAGAAGAAGAAGAAGAAGAAGAAGAAGAAGAAGAAGAAGAAGAAGAAGAAGCTTTTGCAAATGGATGACACGACAGGATTTAGAGGGAGAAAGCAAAAAAGCCAACATTTTTTAAGAGCTAGAAATGACAAGAAATTGTGGAGAGTTTCATTGTTAACGTCCTGAAGGGACACGGTGTATAGAAGAAGAAGAAGAAGAAGGAAGAAGAAGAAGAAGAAGAAGAAGAAGAAGAAGAAGAAGAAGAAGAAGAAGAAGCCAACATTTTTTTTTGCAAATGGATGACACGACAGGGATTTAGAGGAGAAAAGAAAAAAAAGCCAACATTTTTTAAGAGCTAGAAATGACAAGAAATTGTGGAGAGTTTCATTGTTAACGTCCTGAAGGGACACGGTGTATAGAAGAAGAAGAAGAAGAAGAAGAAGAAGAAGAAGAAGACGAAGAAGAAGAAGAAGAACGAGGTTTAGCAAATGGGTGTAAGTACAGGATTTAAGGGAGATAACAAAAAGACAATATTTATTAAGAGCTAGAAAGGTCAGGAAAGCCTTGATTTTCAATATCCTGAAAGGATACGGTGAATAGAAGAGGAAAAACGAGCTTTTGTAAATGGTTGAAGATTTAAGTGAGGTAAAAAAAAACGACATCATTTATTAAATGTTACAAAGGGCAAAAAAATGTATGGATTGGTGATCGCTAGCGTCGCGAAACATAACGGTACATCGAAGAAGAAGTAATCCTAGTAAAGCGCATACTATTGAGTCATCGAAAAAGATTATAAAGAGCTCAAAATTAATGGAACGGGATTGGTGACTATGATCGCGAATAAGATCGAATAAAAAACGTTTCCTGTACAAAATTTAAGCAACTCGAGACAAAATCCTAAATCGCTTATAAAGATATGGATTTAGAGATAATACTTATTGCTAGAAAGACTCGTGAAATTTTCACGGGTTTCCTATTTGAAATTTCTGATGAATCCTAATTCTTAAGTTAATGATTGAATAAGCTCAAGGCGGGTTCTACAACATTAAAATATCCGTAGATATCCGTTAAATATTTGCGCTTAATAAATTTAACAAAATATTGCAATAACAATCATAAATATGAATTCTGCTCGTTATTTTAAGAAGTAAGCGGGTACAAATGAAAAGATTTTAAATTGACAACCTTCACTGAAACAAACGTTAAACGCTTCTATTTTCTTTTTCTTTATTTCTTTATCTCTTCTTTTCTTTCTTTCTTTCTTTCATTTTCTCACTGAAACGTTGGGTCCTTGAAATTATTCTGTCTTTCCACATGATCAAAACAGAATAGTCTCCTATTTATGAGGTGTTGGCAAGTGACGTTAAACACTTCTTTCTATCTTTCTTTCCATCTTTCTCTCTATCTTTCTTTCTTTTTGTCACTGAATCCAAGTAGCGTTTCTGATATGTCTTTTCCGTCTTTCCACACGGTCATTATTTATGAGGTATTGGCACGTGACGTTAAACACTTCTTTCCCTCTTTCTTTCTTTCTCACAACGAAACCAAGTTGTAATTCTGATATTGTCTCTTCCGTCTTTCCACGTGATCAAAACGGAATAGTCCATTATTTATAAGGTATTAACAGGATGTAACGGTCGTGCTAACTAAGGGAGGGACAAGCTAAATTATAACAACATTATTATTATTATTTTTTTTTTTTGAAAATCTCGACTCTTACAGATACGGTGTTTGTGGATCAATGTGCATTTGATTTGTGACAAGGGATAGGTGTTTGTCATAAGGTAAGTGTTTGTGTAGGGGATAGACGCCAGCGATGTCATTTGCTAAGCTTAGGAAAACATGGAACACCCAGTGTGGATCGAAATCCCTGAGAAGGGTCAGCAAAACTAATGATGAGGTACCGTAAAATTTGCTACGATTCGTTTAGATTTTAGCACGAAAGCTACATTATATAAAGTGAGTTTCGAACGTCTTAGTAATGGTCGGTAAGACCAGCTTGCTAATCATTGCGCTTGAATAAGGTGTCCAAACGGGCTGGGCAATGTGTTCATATTAGGGTAGATGTATATGTGTGCACCAGCGTGTTTGTGTATTGCAAAATCGAATCAGGAAGACGATAGAGTTCGATCGTTAACAAGTCCGTCAACTGAACGACAAAAGACGAAAGATGGAAGGCAGATGGTGTCCGAATACCGGCCAGCTTCGTAATGGAACTTTAAGTGCAGTGTTATCTGATGAACGTGGATGTCGACCAAATGAAATAGAAGAAAGATGGCGTATCTACTCAAGTAGCCGATGGCCATCCAATAGACGAAAAACTCGATTTGTCACTTGCTTTAATAAACGCCGAACATATCTCCATCCACAAGCGCCCCACCCCGCCTTACGTTAGCGCCAAAACGGCAACAACTCTTCTGTCATTCGATTTTTCCGCTCCCAAAATTTGCGCTAAAATCTAGTGTGATTAGTCAGACGATATTCTATATTGTTTACAAGAGACAGCGTCTTGTAAGGACCAGTACTTTGCGCTGTTGAATATTTGTGAATACAGTCTTAATATATTATACGCTACGTAGTTTTGGTCTATAATGTTTGTAGTTTGTTTTTTCTTTTGCTGTTATCACCCTTTTCTCTTAGCAGTTATCACCCTTGCACTTGTAACCCTGTGTGGCAGTGCTTGTGATAAACATTGGTGGATTGTCTCAAGATATTTATGAAGCCGTCAGACAAACACATTGATTCATCAACAGAGGACAGGTTAAAAATTCGGAAGACAAATACTTAAGACTTACGTATAAAAATCTATTAACGACTAAGTTTTTCTGATGGCTTAGGTAAACTAGAATTAGTATAATACATAAAGTGGGGGATTGATTTTCTGCTGTTATTAAGTAATGAACTGATCCCTCCCTAGAATTGCAACATATCAATATATATGATGACGTAGATGTAAAAATTTAATAATAGTAATTATTTTGGACGGCATAACTAAACTAGTATGAATATATGATTTGCATAGGCAAAAAATGGGGGTTCAGTTTTCTATTGTTAATAAGTAATAAACTGACTCCTCATTAGAATTCCAACATATCAATATAGTAATTAGAAAATACCAGGCGCTGTAAGCTTGGATGTGAGGGTGGTGTTATGGATAATGGCTTAGAATTTTTCTAATTCTCGTTCGCTTCGTTATATACATTCCCCGATTCTATGGGTTAATTAGTAAGACTCGTATCGCTAAATCATTATTATTTACCCCCAAAATTCTTACAATCTAAAAATATTTTCTGGCTTTGAATAACCTGCAAAAGGGTTGATAAACCGTAAAAAACGAATTAATCAATAATTTGAAAAATATTTGATGACGTAGAAGCAAAAAGTTAATTATAGTAATTATTTTTGATGTCATAGCAAAAACTAATATGAATATGATATTTTCATGGACAAAAATTGGGGGAACACTTTCGGTTGTTAAGTAAATAATTGATCTCCCACAAAAATTACATATTGATATTTGGCAATATATATTTAAGCCATTAATGTCTAGGACAATGTACATTTAAAAAATTAAGGAGGACATAAAATTACTAACAAATTTTTATAGATGGAACCTATAATTATTATAATTATAATTAACGGATTTTTTAGAGGTTGAACCTTTAATTAATAATGGATTTTTATAAGCAGAACCTATAATAAATAACGAGTTTTATAGACAAAACCTATAATATATAATGGAATGTTATAGGTATAACCTGTAATTTAGAAGGGCTCTAGAACAGTTAATTAATAATGAATTTTTATAGGGAGAAATTACAAAGTTTTTGTATCTAGAATCTATAATTAATAATGGCTATTATAATTAAAACCTATAATTAATGTTTAATAAGTACAACCTATAATTAATAATGTAATTTTATAGGTACTATCTATAATAAATAATAGATTTTTATATGGTAGAACTTTTAATTAATAAGCAGACTTTCAGAGGTAGAACGTATAATAAATTTTTATAGGAGAACCTATAATTAATAAATGATTTTTATAGTAGTAGCTATAATTTGTAATGAATATTTATAAGTAGAAACTATAATTAATAATTAATTTATAAGTACGACCTATAATTAATAATATATTTTTACGAATCTTCTATTTTTAATTAATTGATTTTTACAGGTAGAACTTATAATTAATAAAAGATTTTATAAGTAGAATCGCTAAATAAATTAAATGTTGAACCTAAAATAATGAATTTAAATGAATAGAAATTATAATAAATAATTGATTTTTATAGGTAAGATTTAAAATTGACAATGATATTTTATAAGTATAATCTACAATTTATAATGGATTTTTATAATTACAAACTAATAAACATTTTTATAGGTAGAATCTATAATTAAGGATGAATATTTATAGGGAGAAACTATAATTAATAATGGATTATTATAGGCGGTACCTAACATTAATAAACAGATTTTTATAGGTAGAACTTTTAGTTAATAATAGATTTTATAGATGGTATCTAAATGAACAATGGATTTTGATACGTTGAACCTATAATTTATAATGTATTTTATCAGTAAAAATTTATAAACAAATTTTTATAGGAAGACTAATTAATAATGAATTTTATAGATAGAAACTATAATTAATAATAGATTATTATAAGTCGAACATATAATTAATAAACGGTTTTTTATAGGTCGAACCTATAACTAATAATGGATTTTTATAGTAGAACCTATAATTAATAATGGATTTTTATAGGTAGGAATTGAAATTGACAATGGATTTTTATACATTGAACATATAACTTATAATGTATTTGCGTAAGTACAAATTAAATAAACTAATTTTTGTATGTAGAATCTATAATTAATAATGGCTATTATAAGTAGAACCTATAATTAATGTTTAATAAGTACAACCTATAATTAATAATGTAATTTTAGAGGTACTACCTATAATTAATAATAGATTTTAAAGGTAGAACTTTTAATTAATAAGCAGACTTTCATAGGTAGAACGTAATAAATTTTTATAGGGAGGACCTATAATTAATAATGGAATTTAATTTATAATTTAGGTACAATGTTTAATTTATTAATTATGAATTATGGATATTTATAAGTCTATAATTAATAATGGAATTTTATCGGAGAAACTACAATTAATAAAGAATATTTATAAGTAGAAATATTGGATTTTTATGGGTAGAGCCTATAATTAACGAATTTTTATAGGGAGATCCTACAATTTATAATGGATTTTTATATGTAAAACATGTAATTAATAAACAGAATTTACAAGTGAATCCTATAATTTACAAGAGATTTTTATAGGTAGAACCTTTAATTATGAATGCATTTTTATAGGTTGAAACTATAATTAATAATGGATTTTAACACTAAGCAGTCAGAATTTATTAATTATGTATTATGGATATTTAAACTAAAACCTATAATTTGTAATGGATTTTTATAAGTAGAACCTATAAATAATAAATCATTTTTGTAAGTAGAATTTATAATTAATAATTAACTTTTATAGATAGAATCTATAATTAATCCATTTTTATTAGTAGAACTAATCAATAAACGGATTTTTATAAGTAAAACCTGCAATTAATAATGGATTTTTATAAGTACAACCTATAAGTAATAAACGGATTGTTATAGGTACAACATGTAATTTATGCTGGAAATTTTAAAAATAAAACCGATAATTATTAAACGGATTTTTATAATTGGAATATACGATTAATGATCGATTTTTTAACCTCTAATTAATACAGATTATTAAAGAATTTTGTAAAGCGGTATTTAATACCGGTTTTTTTTTATTTTTATAATCAATATGGGATTTTGTGTCAATCGAAATTAAAAAAAAAATGAAAATTTCAACAAGCAAGAGTATCTGCTCTTTTTGAAGCATTTCACTCGATTCAAGGCAATAACGCCACTATGGCGCAAGTAACTACTGAGAATGAAAGAGAATGTTAAAACTTTACAAAGAACTGGAAACATTAGATAAACTATTCCTGTTCGAAAGAATGGGAAGGAGTGTGAACCGAGCGAAAGTCATATCATATTTAATCATATTAAATAATATTAACAATAAAATATTGTGTTCAATGTTGTATTGTTATAAAACTGTCATGTTTTCATTGTAATAGGATTTTATTTTTTTTTTTACCCGGGACTGATATTGCATTTTGTGCCACATTAATACAATCACATTTAACAGCAATATTTCTTGGTCAACATTTTTCCGTTTTTGAAAACTTCAGCTGTTTCATGCTTTACAAAGATTAAGGCTTCCTTACTGCCCAAAAGAAGTGGGATGAGAGGAGAGCTTCAATTCATTCAGTTATATATGCTTATGTATTTGTATTTGTGATAGACAGAGAGAAAAAATCAAGAAAAAGAAGATATAGGAATTGAATGAAAAATGATTTTGACGGTCATGACAACGCAGATAGTGATGGTATGCGCAATGGGTTGTTGATTGCTAGAAGGTGCGGCTGTTTTATGCTAAATTGTTAGAAGATACTGCACAGAACCTATCTGCAGGATTGGTAATTTTCCCCGTCCGAGATAAACACTAATTTTCGCGGACTGGTTCGTACTTTTTAACCTTTATTCAATTTCACCGTTCTAATTAGACAAGAGTCAATCATTTTATGGCGAAACGCGCTGGGCAAAATGTCAGCATTTCTTTAAACCGGAAACTTTGCAATGAGCTGAGCAGGACTGGCCACATTACGGGTTGGTCAGTAATTAAATTCACTTCATAATTGGAAAGTCTTACATGAAAAATGATTCATACTTGGGCATAGGTCATTACTGCAATATTGGTGCAGTTTCGACACAATTCGCTTTCTTCTTCCTATTTATCTTCTTCTTCTTCTTTTTATTATTATTATTATTATTATTATTACGTAAGAGATCAGCATGCCAACACAATGATACTGGGGTACAAATATACGAAACACACTATACGCCTTAAGACACCCTGTCTGATAACGTTATACCAGGCACTGACAAATATATGAGATATGGTTAAAAAATTGAAGTCATTTGAAGGAGATCGAACAAAGTTATTAGATTGCGAAATGATATCAAATTTTTTGAAACACCCTGTATATAATTTGTTCTTGATAAAATCCAAAGAATAATGATCAATATTATTACCTGGCATCTCGATCTCTTTTATAATGTAGCTTCTTTGTGTATTTTCTATAATTATTTTCATAGTAAATGTTCGGTTGAGCTCTTCGTTATGGTACCTAGACTTTATAAATTTAAAGTCAGTACTAGATTGGCAGCAAGATTTCATCAATTTACAGTTCAATTGGCTAGATGTATCCGCAAGTTCTATGCTAACAGTTTCTTTACTCGCATTTCTCGCTTGTGGAACTCTCTACCGGCTTCATGCTTTCCAGCCAACTTTGATCTTCAAAAATTTAAATGCAATGTCAATCGTTATCTAGCGTCTTCTTCATTACTCTTCTATTGTTCTCGTTCCTTAATAAAGTTTCTCTTTTTCCTAATTCTTTCACACACACTAACCCATTGTGTCTTAGTGCATTTACCGCTTTGCAATAGGTGAAATGATAAAAAAGTTGGGTTGGTGAATTTGACACTCACAAAATATATATATTGAATTCAAGAGGGAGAGAGGAAAACTGTAAATAACCAATTTAAAATATTTGTGAAAATGGATTACAGAAGTCTTAAGAGGGACAGTAAAAAAGAGAAACATTACTTAGAGCTACGAAGACTACGAAATTGTGGAGAGCCCTGATCGCCCAAGACCTGAGGAAATACAGCACGTAAAAAAAGAAGGTTATGATACTTTAAATGTTATTTCCTTCGATTTTTTGGTAACTTTTATTTCGGGTGATCGATCTAAGCGTAACTGGCTGAATGACTTCTTGGTATACACCAAGGAGGACGTTTCGAATTGACGCTGACTCCAACATGATTAATGCTACTAATAGATTTTCTTAGAGAATAATATATTCCTTGCAAATTATGCTAATAAGTCAAAGAATTAATGCGGGGTTAAATGAATTGATATGTGCAATCTCAAAAGTTCAGAGTCCCGACCTGATATATTTACATCCCCATGATTTCAATTCATATATATTTCTTTTGGTACTCATGCGCAATAAAAAAAATCACGCATGCGCAATGAAAAAAGTCAATAATTCTAAAATGGCTGATTGTAATTATGTAATCTCGATGTAAAACGCGCGCACGCACTCGTTTACTGCTGAAGCAAAGAAAATTGTCACGCAAATGTTTTATGGTGATATTTTTCTAAATTGCTGGGGAAAGATCGCTCTGTCCAACTTGCCGTCATTTAATAAGTGTCTATAGCGAATAATAAAATTATTTGTTTTTTATGGGAAGGAAGAGATGTTTTGAAGGTTTTGGGAGTGGATAGGCTTAGGGACGTTGATAATTTTTTGAATTTCTTTTAGCAAGAAAACTCTTGTGCTGAACTGAAAAGAAAGGATGAAAGAGAGGTAAAAGAAAAGAAAGAAAAAGAAAAAAACATTCCGAGAAAAGAAGAATGAAGAAATACATTAGGTGACATAAAATAGGTCAAACGATGTATAATAAAAAAGAAAAAGAAAAAAGTAGAAATGAAGAAGAAAGAATGAAAGAAAAACGAGTTATAAAGAGTGTTTGGAAGTAAGCGAGAAAGAAAGGAAGAAAACAAAAAGAAAGATAGAAAAAAAAGGAAAAAGAAGAAAATGGGCAGAGGAAGAGAGTAAGGAAAGAATGAAAAGAAAGAAATGGAGAAAAAGAAGTGCGAAATTAGACAGAAATAACAAAAGAAAAGAAGTGGAAAGAAAGACAGAAAGAAAGAAAGAAAGAAAGAAAGAAAAAAGAAAGAAAGAAAGAAAGAAAGAAAAATAAAATCGCAAAAGAAAGAAAGAACTTAAAAGAAATAAAAAAAAAAACAGAGAAAGAAAGAAAGAAAGAATAATAAAAATGAAAAGAAAGAGAAAAAACTTAAAAGGAATCCCTTCCATGTGTCTATTGGAATCTTTTCCAATCAATCCGAGGACTCCAACTACAACTAGAATTGTTAATGTCCTCATGCGTCACGTTTTTTAGATCTTGATTTCAAAGTCCTTGTATTTTGATAGTTTTTTGCAGATCTTCAAAAATACATTACAAACTCCAGGGATTGCCATATCAATAAGGAGGCATATTTTGTCATTGTGGTCTCTAATCACGATGTCAGGGCAATTAACTTTGATTCTTCTGTCTGTGTGTATTGTAAAGTACCCTAAATTTTTTACAGGTCCTATCTCCGTACCCGAATCAGTGTGGGGTTCATATCAATTTCTTACAGTTTCCTTTCCGTAAAAGTTGTAGATTTTTCAGTGCAGATATTGGCCCACTCTGTCATGCCGTGTTTTATATTCAGTGGGAGCGAATACCGCGCAACTTGATACAAGATGATCAATTGTTTCTGGATATTTATCACAGATTCTGCATTTTGGGCGAACACAATTTTTCAGTACGTGTGCTTGATAATATCTAGTTAACAAGCATTGGTCCTGTGCAGCAAGAATAAAACCTTCGGTTTCAGCGTTTAACTCTTTACTACGTAACCACTGATGGGTACGAGGTTTGTCTACATCAGCTTGTTTGGTACGGGCAGAGTATTGACCGTGAAGCGGTTGGCATCTTTTCTGTATTTGGTCGGCTGCATTTGCCTTTGCTTTCTTTTTTAAATATTTTGCAGCTGCAGACGGTGTATTGTGCTTTACTTGCATTTATTAGGAGATAACAATGTTTTTTCCAGATGCAAGTCCTACTATTTAGCCCATAGCTAGGGGCTGAATAGGCGTATTTTATACGGGGTATTTATGCATAAGGAAAAGTAAAGGGAACGAGTGGAATTCGAACTCGGGATTCTGATTCCGCATGCCAAGCCACACTTCATTAGAACATCTGAAAATCAACAGAAAGAAAGAAAGAAAGAAAGAAAGGCCAACAGCGTGTGCAAATTAGAATGGCTGAATCAAGATTTTTCTATCTCCACTTGCAATCTTGAAGAGAAGACAAAAGTTAGGCCATTTGTATTGGCTGAATATAGTTTTTGTTCAGTCGTCTTTTGCCCTTCCGAATGGCTTAGCACATGTTTATTCAAAGCCAAAGAATTCGATCCCTGAAAGCCTTATCTCTCGGTCGCAGAAACATCTTCAAACTCTTACACACAATCGCATCTCCACTTGAATACAACATGGACACAAAACAGACAAGTTTCGCTTGATATGAAATATTCTTTCAGATACTTTTCTCATCTATCTATCTATCTATCTATCTATCTATCTATCTATCTATCTATCTATCTATCTATCTATCTATCTATCTATGCCAGTCTCTTCATTATCTATCTATCTATCTATCTATCTATCTATCTATCTATCTATCTATCTATGCTAGTCTCTTCATTATCTATCTATCTATCTATCTATCTATCTATCTATCTATCTATCTATCTATCTATCTATCTATCTATCCCTGTCTCTTCATTATTATTAGATAAAAATAGATATGAACAGATTGATATAGATATGAACAAAGATAGATAGATATTAATGAAAGTGGAATGGATAATGAACACTGTGATAGATAGATAGATAGATAGATAGATAGATAGATAGATAGATAGATAGATAGATAAAAAAACTGGGATAGATCCCAGTCTGTTATTATTATCTATTTCAATCTGTTCATATCTATCTCTATCTCTTAATATATATGTATATATATATATATGTGTGTGTGTGTATATATATATATATATATATATATATATATATATATATATATACAAACAAATATATATATATATATATATAGAGAGAGAGAGAGATAGAGAGAGAGATATATATATAGATAGATATAGATAGATAGATAGATATGCCATCTTGATTTCATTTTTCATTCAGTCAACATGTATCTGTTAACTTTAAATTTCTCATGACTGATATGTCATTGTTTATTTGTCGCCAATGTTATTAATATTATTAATATTATTAATAAATATACATTTTTCTTCACCAGTAGCAAGACTCTGAGTTTCATTCACGACACAATCTTCAGAAGCTGAATTGAGTTTAACCATTGCATAAGTTAATTTTTGTTATATTTATTGGATTATCGTAATAGTGGAGCTGTCTATATTCTATACAGGGATTAAATAAACATAAATATAAGGGAAAAAATGACATCCACACAAATTATTCACTTCAAGTTGAAAAGGTAGGATTATAATTTCAATATAAATATACATATCTAAGGAATTATAATGAAATTATGTTTGAAACAATATTAGAATGTCTGACGCTCAACTTCTCGAGAGCTCCTGTTCGCGACTACTCGGCCTCACATTGACTGCTGACCTGAGATGGAACGAGTACATTGAGTCAATAGCTTCGTCCATCGCAAGGAAAGTTGGCTCCCTGTGCCGCGCCAGGAAATTTTTCTCGCCGGAGTCGATCCTTCAAATCTACAAATCAACCATTCGCCCTTGCATGGAATATTGCTGCCATATATGGTCTGGAGGCCCCGCTGTTTGTCTCAAGGTTCTTGATAAGATCCAGAGACGGATATGCAATGTAATTGGCCCTGATCTGACATCTTGTCTGCAGTTGCTCTCTCACAGACGTGCCGTCGTCTTCCTTTGTCTTTTTTTACAAATAATTTCATGGCAACTGCTCCGATGAGCTGCTTTTGCTGGTTCCCAGACTTCATGAATTAAAGCGTTCTACTAGGCCGGCATCCTGTTCTCACCCTTTCACTATCGAAACTGTTTAATGTAGCCGTCTCTTCTACTCCAATAGCTTCATGTCTCGCACCTCTCGCCTGTGGAACTTCCCCCACATTTCCTATTTCCCTGATAGCTATAATCTCCAACTATTCAAATGTAATGTCAATCGATGTCTCCAGATGCCTTGATTTATCCCCTATCCTTCTCTCCATCCTTTCCTCTATCACTCCTATTTGCTCTAGCTCCGACTCTCTGTAAGCCCTTGCATGCTAGTGGCTTGCCACCTTGCTTGGGGTGAAACGCTTAAAAAAAATATTCACATAAAACAATATATATATATGTATGTATGTCTTGGTTATATATATATATATATATATATATATATATATATATATAACCAAGACATATATACAAGTAAAGATAAACGAATTAATGTGAGCTATTCACTCATGCACAAATAAAGTAAAAACATACACACACACTATTATAATATCAAAAGCCAAATCTTATGATGAGAAAGGATCGTTCTCTTGTGGAAAGTTGATTTTTTTCCAATTATAACGTGAAAAAAAATGGCATTATTTCTAAGAGAAGACTTATTTTTATTAGCTGTAGAAATTTTTTCTTATGAGATTGTTTGTCTTGTTGAAAAGGTTTTAAAGCGATTAGATAGCGTCAAACAAAAGAGACATGCCGTTTCTAAAATGATCAGGTTTTATTCTAGCTCAGAAGAAATTTGTGCGTGGATTTTATTGGTCTTCTTTTTTTTTTGTATTCGTAAATGTTGCCCGTGTAAATTTTAAACTAATTTTTATGTCTTGAAGCTTACTGTTCTACAGTATCTTATTATAATTTTGCTTAATCTCTTATTCATAATTAACACGCACGTTACACCCTGGACTATTCCGTTTTGACATAAGAGACGTTGGTCAGTTTCAATAAGAGAAAGAAAGAAGGAAAAAACGAAAGCAAGAAAAACGCGGGTTTAACGTCTGCTTCAATGAAATGAAAAAATTGTCAATTTCAATTTTTTTTTTCGTTTTTACCCTCTTCTTCATCTTCTATGTGCTGTGTCTCTTCAGGATGTGGCTGAACATGGTTATCCACAATTTCCAGTCCTTCCTAGCTCTTAGTAAAGTTTGTCATTTTGCTAACTCTCCTAATCACTAATCTGTCAGTCATTTAAAGTTTGTCATTTTTATTCCTGTTCTGTTAATCATTTAAAGTTTGTCATTTTGCTGACTCTCCTAATCCTTAATCTGTCAACCATTTAAAGTTTGTCATTTTGCTGACTCGCCTAATCCTTAATCTGTCAACCATTTAAAGTTTGTCATTTTGCTGACTCTCCTAATCCTTAATCTGTCAACCATTTAAAGTTTGTCATTTTGCTAACTCTCCTAATCCTTAATCTGTCAACCATTTAAAGTTTTGCTAACTCTCTTAGTCCCTTATTTACATTATTCAGACTATTGTCCTCATCTTTGTTGCCATAATTATTACAACGTTTCAGCCGTTGTACACTTCGGCCTTCTTCGAGTAGTTGGAATGTCGAACTGAACCCTTTGTTTCGCTCATTGGGGTAGACACATGGCACAATGGATAAAGGCGTTAGTTAGATCCAGTGACAGGACCCAAAGAGTGTGAGTTCAATACCCGACTAAGGCAGTGGAGAACTTTCAGAGGGGAATTAACAGGAGATAACTGATAACTGACATCCATTAAACATGGCCCGTGGAACTAGAACAGTGTACCCCAGTGAGCGAAATAAAGGGTTCAGTTCGACATTCTAAGCAACTGAAGTGGGTCGGAGCGTACAACGGCCGAAACGTTGTAATAAATATGACGACAAAGATGAGGACAATAGTCCGAATAGTGTAAATAGTGTACATAATACCTCATCTCTTAGTCACTGTTCTACCAGTGTCAGGCGGATTAGGCCTTGTTTTCTTTTATCCCTCTTGCCTTCAATATGCCCTGTGATTGTTAAAGTTTCTAAGCCTTCTTTCCTCATTATGTGACGTAGGAAGTTTAGCTTTCTCTTATTGATTCAAAATATGTGGCCTTTTTGTTTCCATTTTTTGTCGAACTTTGTCATTGCTCACATTTTTAGTCCAAGGTACTCTCAACATCCTTCTGTAGAACCTCATTTCTGCTGCCGCAAGTCTCTTCTTCATATGTGAAGAGATTTCCCAGCAACTAGTTCCTTATAGGAGGACCGATATTAAATAAGAGTTCAGCAATATTTTCTTTGTTTCCAACGAAATTTTCCTGTGTCTTAATGCTTACCTTAAAGTATGAAAGGCATCTTTCGATATCCCAGAGTAACTTAGGATGTTGATGTTGCATTTTCTATTCTTTGTTAAAACACTTCCTAGATATTTCAGAGTTTCATTTTCAAACCAGAAACTTAGACATGAAGCAATAAAATCGTCAATCAGTTGTTGATAAAAGAACCTTCTAGAATTATTTCCTTTCTTTTCTTTCTTTTTTTTCTTTCATAGTTTCCTTTCTTTCTTTATTTGTTTTTAATTCTTTGCTTACTTTCTTTCATTTTTCTTTCGTCATTTTCCTTCTTTCTTTTATATTTTCGTTCTTTCTTCATTTTCTATTTTTTTTATTTACTTTTCATTCTTTATATCTTTCTTTCTTTTAACTTTGTTTTTTTTATTTCTACCTTTTCTTTCTTTCTTTTCTTTTTTTTCATTTTGTTCTGTATTCTTTTCTTTTTCATCCTTTCAATTGTTGTCCTTTATTTATTTCATTCTCTATTTCCTTCTTTCTTTCTTTTTCATTTACTTCTCCTTTATCTTCCTTTACTTTCTTTCTTTCTATTTGTTGTCCTTTCTTTCTTTCATACGCTCTTTCTTTCTTTTTCATTTACTTCTCGCTTTTCTTCCTTTATTTTCTTTCTTTTATCTCTCTTTTTCTTTCAATATCTATTTCTTTCTATCTTTTTTATCTACTTCTCCTTTTCTTTCTTTCTTTCTTTCTTTCTTTCTTTCTTTCTTTCTTTCTTTCTTTTTATTTACTTCTCCTTTTTCTCCATTTACTTTCTTTATTCTTTATTTCTATTTGTTGTACTTTCTTTATTTTTCTTTCATTTTCAATTTTTTATTTATTTTTTTATTTATTTTATCCTTTTCTTTCTTTCTTTCTTTCTTTCTTTTCTTTTCTTTCTTTTTATTTCATTCTCTGTTTCTTTCCTTTTTTTATTTACTTCTCCTATCCTTTCTTTATTTTTCTTTCTTTCTCTATTTGTTTCCTTCTTTTTTATTTACTTCTCCATTTTTTGTTTATTTTTCTTTCTTTCTTTCTTTCTTTCTTTCTTTCTTTCTTTTCTTTCATTCATTCATTCGTTCTCTATTTCTTTCCTTCTTTTTTATTTTCTTCTCTTTTTTCTTTCTTTATTTTTCTTTCTTTCTTTCTTTCTTTCTTTATTTTTATCTACTTCTCCCTTTTCTTTCTTTTTTCTTTCTTTCTTTTTTCGTTCTCTCTCTCTCTCTTTCTTTCTTTCTTTCTTTCTTTCTTTCTTATATTTATTCACTTCTATTCCTGCATCAAATAGCACCTGAAGGAAGGCGAGTAGACGTTAGAGCAGAGAAATGTAATTAAGACTCTTACTTATTGCTCTTTGCCAGGAGTCGAGATAGTCTCCAACAATAAAAAAAGGCCCCAATCTACGAAAACGAATTCCACTTCCAATCAACGACAACCGAAAACTTTAGAGAATTGCCTTTACACTAATGAAAATTTCATTCAATTTCCAAATCGAC